TTAACCTTAACTTTTTTTACCTGTACTCTAACAGTCCACACATATTTTAATTTTAAGTAATAGGGTTTGTCATAAACAATAAGTCAAATTCGCAATATTAAATTTTATTATTTTTCGAAGAAACTACTTATTTGTTCGACTGTATTTCAACGGCGCGGTAAGTTTTGTCTGAATAATAACGCTAGATTATTTTTTTATTACTTAATACTTCCCCAGAGTAAGATCCATGTTTTCACGACGTTTCATAGTTCCTAGAATATGAAAATTTCCACCAAAAAAGTGCGGACGTCATTCCAAAATTATGCTAAATTTATGATTTCTAAAACGTGCAAAGTATTATCGTTCTGCAGCTACGGTTTATTGCTGGTACAAGTTTTTGGAAAAAAAATAACACATGGAAAAAAAACTATTTTTTCCTATTTTATGAATAGGTGGATAGGTACATGAAACTAGCCGTTCTTCGAATTCTATTGCAATACTTCTCTAGCTTACACTCATGAAACAAGTTTTTATATAGAAAAAGTTTGATTTATAGTATAGGTGTTTCGACATGATTTTCGTATTTCTGAACCATAATAACCAGTGCCGGATTGAGAACCTGGGGGCCCACCGGGAAATTTACAAAGTGGTGCCCGTATATTACATATTATACTATTATTTCGAGTTTTGTCAGCGACATTGCCGTCTTGAAAAAACTGGTGGAAAGTTATTTGACAGAACTTTCTTCGCCTCTGAAGTATACAATACATCATATCCAGCTTTTTCGAAAAATTACAAAATTTGATTTTGCGATTATTTTTTTATGAGAACTCCTTTAAGTTAAAATAAAATATGTATACAATGTTAAAAATAAATGTGAAGCGGTGTGCTACGCATATGTTTCGTTTCAAATGAGTTTTTCCTTTACCAAATTTTGTGATGACGTCATCAATATTTTAGCAAGGACACGTATGTCATTCAGTATATTACTAATAATTACACTGTTGTATCCCCAAATTTTCGGGAAATTCTAGTGAGACGTTCCTGATTTAATAAATGAAACAAATTGACTTATTCATTAATTTTTTGAGTCATCTGCAATCAATGTCTGTCTAAGCAATTCTAAATAAATTACAACGGGGCGCAGTCCGCATAAGTGAGGACAAAATGTAATATGTTTCAAATAAATAACCAACGGGAAAACCTGTTTTCTCAGTGTTTCATTACATGCGTAATTTCGAGTGTTTATTAGACTTCGAAAGTGTGCTGGTGTGTTTCGATGATAAGTATCTGCGTTAACAGGAAATGAAATTTGATTGTTTTTGTCTCCTCAAAAGAGAGTTTTTCCACAACAACACGTTCTAGCCATAGCGCAAGAAAAAAAAGATACAGTCAAATTTGGCTTACACGTGCGACCCGTAAATCTACTTGTTGATTTAGAAACCACCACTCCACTGAGATTTACATCCTGTGTTAGTGGTAAAGTGTTATTATACTATGTTAATTTTTTTGAAAAAATTTGGCCGTTTAGGGAAAAGAACTTAAAACGGATGCGTACACCACAAGTATAGGAGTATATATAACATTAAATTATTCTATTTTAACATCCTTCAAGATGACGTCATTATGTTGGTGATGATGTTTTTAACATACACATAAAATATGACAACAATTGGTCCATTAGTTTCGGAGATTATCTATTTTAATAAAAATTGACACAGACAGGCAAACAGATGGTAGCGGGAGACCACTTTTTTCGTACTCTAGAGCTCGTGAAAAGTAAGAAAACGTGAAACTGACAATTTGTCCGATGGACTCGATTACTACTATTATTTTTATTACTAAACATATGTTGTTTTTGGAACTTTTGACGACGCTACCAAACAAAGCTATACTAAAAAAGATACTCTTATTTAATATTTATGTATTTTTTTGCGTCTGTTAGATTTTTAGGAAAATTGTATTTGTAATCATAACATCCTGTATATCTGAAATATAAGATTTGAGGCCCCGAAGTACAGTGTTTCGCGGCCCACGGGGAAATTTCCCGGTGTCTCGGCGGTACAATCCGACACTGACTAACGGATGCATGAATGTACTTTTATTATATTTTTAAGATGTATTTATTTAGTAATTTTTGGTAAAAATAAATTTGAAAAACATAAAATTAATTGTAGTAGGTAAATAAAGTCGATGGTATTCTATCCTAACAATAATATGGGAGAAATTAGGCGAAACTGTTTGTTAAATAGATAAAAATCTCCAGAGGAAAGATTCCGAGGATCGAAATCGTATATAACGTTTCGTATTCAATGTAGAAGGTTTTACCAATGCCACTACACGCCTTATTTAAAAAGATTCGTAATTCTGTTCATCGAAGAATAAACCAAAAACACTATAATAAAAATAAATTTTAATCGTTACACTGTTCAATCAGTCCTTGTGTATGACCAAAATTGGCACAGACAATGGAGTTAAAGTTACAAAACAGATTTATTCAATAAAATTTTGATATGATGTCATCAAATTTTTGGTCGTGATAAACAGACAAATTTTTCTTGCGGTTTTATCATCTGCTGGATAATTTTAAAGCAACATTATAATTTTATTCTAATCAGTACAATCGTTTAGGAAATTTTTTACCCAGTAAAATTACCAACAATTATTACAATATTTCTCTAGCTTTTGCAGTAGCGCTTAAAAAATCCGGACACCCAATTTTTTTAAGCATGATTAATCATTAAAAAATATTAAAATTGTCAAGAGTTTTTGCGCAAATAGTTTTTAATTTCAAGTATAGGATATAACCCACATATCGATTCAGTCATGCTTGGTCTAATTATGCTTGAAACTGAAAAAACATGGGGTGTCCGTTTCTTTAATAATATCGATTTTTTAATAAGTAACTCATAATAAAAGTTTTTTTTAACTACACTGCCTGACAAATAAACCCGAACACTTGAATAATTGTAAATTTACGCCAATGTTTAGTGTTATAACTTTTTTTACTTTTTTTCTTTTTCCACATGTTGTAGAACAAAGTAATGTTTTCTATTAGTGAATACATTAATGAGTTGCCTTTTTGGAATATTTTTTACAGAAGCTCGATCAGTTGCAAGTAATCACAAAAAATTCAAGTGTCCGAGTTTTTTTGTCTGGCAGTATGGTCAAATGAGCCAGGTGTTTTAATTGTTTTTAAATTAACTTTTAATATGTTAGGAAAATTCCTAATTTTTATATTAATCGCTGAACTCTAACAAGTAAAGAAAATTAAGTAATGTTGATTTGTTCTTACAATTATTCAAGTTGGAAATATGAAAGTCGTAAAATCTTTGAGAACGTTTGCTAACTACTGTTGACTCTAATTTCAATATTTAAATATTGAAAGACATGTTAGATAAATTAAAGTTCCATTAGAATACACCATCTGATCTACATAGCAATTATTTGCTGATTAAAAATTCATGACTAGGACGTTAAAACTGGAAGTGTTGTTTCAGTCTGTAAAATAAATCTTGGGAACGTCGGCGAACACTTTTTTAAATGTTTATCCGCAAATTACTTGTATCACTTTTTGTTTTGCTTTTATATTCTTCATCAATAATTTGTAGTCAGTATGTAAAAAATGTTGTAAGCCGAGAAAAGCGCACCTTAATTTGGCAAGAAGGAGCCAGCAGATTACAAGTCCACACTCTAACAATTTTTACAAAAATTTATCAAAAATTATTTTCAGGTGATTACAGGTTTTGGCATTCCTCTTGATTTAAAAAGAGAGACTGTGATCGTGGGAACAGTGTTTAAAGCGAATTATGTCGTACCCATGAACATCAGCCAGCTCGTCAATCCTTATGTCTTCTATCAACGGAAAAAAAGAGCCTCCAGTAGATGGGACATTTACAAATTGTTATCTCGAGCCATCGAAATGTAAGAATTTTATTTGCAAACCTGAAGTAATAAAGTAAATTGTATTTGTCGCAAGGCGAGGATTTGAAGGAAAACCATGCATTTTAAGAGCCATCTGTGAAGTGGCTGGTGCACCTCTAGAGAAAAATTACGGACTTTTCAACGAATTGATTCACGTGCTTTTTACGTAAGTGTTACGGTTTTTCGTTTCGTAACAAAAAGATACGGTTTTAGGCCTTCGAGCACAAACGAGAAAGTAGAGCATCATTCTGATAACGAATACTATGCGGCGCAAAACATTGGTGAAAAGGATGGGAAATGCGACAGAATTTTCCACGATTGCAGTTCCAGTTTGATGGATATGTTCACAGTTTACGGGAATGAAATTGGGTCTAATTTGTTTTAGCGTATTTGAATTCTTTCAAGATTTACGACGCAAATACATTCTTTGGTTGAAATATATGAATTCGAGAAAATAAAAATTGCATTGAAACATATCTAATTCGTGATGTTGAAACAATATGTGAGTAAAGCTCCAGATTTGTGATAAATAGAGAAACAGAATTCAGATAGAAAATGTTCTATATTTAATTTTTTTTCATATTATGAATATCTGGAAAAGTTCTGGCGAGTTAAAATTGCTATAGAATTAGTTATCGTACGTATAACCGCTACCTCTTTGAACAAAATTACTGCGTCAGCTCTCATTGTTATTATCGATTCTGTCTTCGCTCTTTCATCACTTTTTTGCTCGTTCTGGAGCAGCTTAATTACATTTTTAATAGACACATTCCATTAAGTATACTCGAGTTGACTTGGTTGATTTTTGCTAAAGCAAATTTTTTTTTAACTGGTTTTCCGCGTTCCGACCTTCGGCCGAACGTTGTAATAGAGACATCAAAGATGACATTTCAAGAGTTCAAAGCAACGGCCTGTACTTATTTCAATATTTAAATAGTGAGACACATATTAGATAAATTAAGGTGTTTAGTGCTTCATTCAGTACAATAAAAATTTGTATTTTTGATTAAGTCATCAAAGGCTCTCAAATTGAAAATGTAACTACTCATAACTTATTAAGATCGTTGTAATCAACGTCACCTCTATTTCGTCGCAAAATGATTAACTGCCAGTCACTTTTATGCGTTCTAATTTTATCTGATGTTGCGTGGATGAATTGCGCACAATACGTGAAAAATAGTGCTCTAAGGAGAGAAAAAAGGACTTTAATTTGGCCTGAAGGTGGCAGCAAGCTGCTGGTTAAAATTTTCTTGTTCGGTTTTTTGTCGTTTTAATAGAAAAAATTTGTAGGCGATCTGTGGCTTCGGCATTCCAGTTGATTTAAAACCAGAAACTGTTATAGTCGGCATGGTACTTAAGGCGAACTATAGGTTTCCGACAAATGCGTCAGAAATAACTAACCCTATTGTTACGTACGCAAGAAAAAAAAGAGCCCTTAATAGATGGGATTTGTATGCTTTGTTGTCACAAGCTTTGGAAATGTAAGATTTGTTCTTGTTACATTGGAAACAAATTAGACTTATAAAACGTTGACAGGAAAGGATTTAGGGGAAAATCTTGTCTGCTGCGAGCTATTTGCGAAGTGGCTCATACGCCTGTGGTAAGAAATTTTGGATTATTCCATGAGTTGGTTCACACCTTTTTTACGTAAGTATCTGAAGATGACTAACTGAATCTGTTTAAAGCATAAAAAAATAATACCCAAGTAAGAAAGTTAAATACTTTTTATTCCAAAAATATCTAACTTAGAACATTATTCTTATTATTTCACTTACTTTTAATCTATATTTCATTCTATATTTTCCTTACACCAGTAACTGAATGAATAAGATGCTATTACCATAACCCAGATTTTATCTGACTTCAGAGTTTATATAAAATTCATTGAAATAAATGAAATATACTAATTTTAATTATGCTAAAAAATCATTATGGTAATTTAATTAGTTACATAAAGTTAGATAAATGAGTTATGTAATTGCGATCAAGAAATTGTTTAACGTAGGTATTTAAAACGTATAAAAGTCGGAAACCAACCAAGTATTAAAAATCTGAAATTTTTTTTTCGTTTGCACAAATACATATATTAATTTAGATGTATGTAAACTACAACTTAACCATATTTTCGAAATTTAGAGAAATTCAGGTGACACATTTCTGAGTTATGTATAAAATAATAGGTTATATAAAAGAATTACCCAAAAACTCATTCCTCCGTATTAATTTTTATTAATTTATTGTTGTCAAGAACAATATGTAGGACTTATTACATATAATAATACTAACTACAGTGGATGTGAAAAATCCATCGGTGTGAGAAACAACAGAAACAAGGTTTAGATTCGTTATATCCATGAGGATAATGTTTAGATGGCAGTGAAGCTTCGGAATTCACGGCAGACGTTTTTTAGATTGAAAATAAATTTGTTACTGAAGGGAAAAGTTGTTTGAAGACTAACAATGTAAGCAAGTAGCAGATTATTTTTAAAAATTCTCAAAGAAAGATGAGTCAGTTTAATATTTTGTATAAATTGAAAGTTTTCATATTGGTTTTTTAATAAGATTTAAAGGTAAATCTAGTTTCATTTAAGCTATTTAGTTTAAACTCTTTTTTAAAAATCTTAAGCAGCTTATTTATACAATTTTTTGATGCACTAATTTAAGATCATACAATTATTTAATTCGAAAGTGTTTTAGAAAACCTTTGGTCTAAAATAAATTCGTTTTTCTCACACACGATACGAAATCATATCAATTAGGAGTAATAAATAATGCTCTGAATTTCAATAGCTAATTTTTAGCTAATTTTTAAAAACAAAAAATTGATCCGAAGTTATTTCGACAGAACTCCCCTCGCCTCAGAAATATAATAAGACATATTGTAGATTTTTTGAGGGGGGATACACAAATACATTTTGAACAAAAATTTACCATCCTTACGATAACTTTAAAACATCTGTAACAGTTCAAAGCAGCCGATTTTGCGGATTCAAAATTCAATTTCAAAATGCTGTTATACAATGTTGTTTTTTTTTTCAAAAAATCTGGATGTTTCGTGTAAAAACTTAATCTGGATTCATAAACTATACGTGTAGAATTATGTTATTTTATACAATTTAAAACCTATTTATTATGTACAATTTTGAGGTGGCGTCCTAAATTTTGGTTAGCTTTTTAGCATATACAGGGTGTTTCAGAAATAAGTACATTAATTTTAATCAGTTATAGAGTTCATCGAAATCTACAACTTTTTTAATAGGGTTTTGTCACAAACTTTTTAATTATTAAGTTAAAAATTGTTAAAGTTTGATCCTAATTAAGGTTACCCGCCCATTGATCCTCAGTCACCTATGGACACTAATAATAATTATAACAATTAATGATTTATGGTCAAAAACAATTACTAGGATAGGTATTTTTCTAATCATGTCAACATGACAATCATTTAGAGAGAAATTGAAAGTGCTGGTCCCTAATGGCCTACGGAATTTCATCAACCCAAATGTGGGTGTTGATTACACCTTCCCTCATGTATCCGGCCTCATCAGTTGACGGTACAGAGATACAAAATTTGCTTGTTCGTTTATTTTTCTGTTAAACTACTCACAAAAGTTTTGCCTACGTGGTAAGTCTGTTGGTGTCAATAACTGAGTTGCTAGTCCTGAAAGAGGTACAGTTGTTCTTTGAATATCCTCCAAACTACTACTCTCCGATACATCACACTGGACAGTGACGCGTCCTAGTGTCCGGTCGAGCTTCGACAAAACAGCCTCTTCAATATTAGCAATTCTATTACTACGTAACCTACCCCGATCTTGAGCTGCAAGTTTAAAAGATCCGTACTCTCGAAGATGCTGCAACGTTCTTACAAGTGCCCACATTTGGCAGACGACGATTTGGGAGGCTTTCTGAAAAAATTCTTTGGGTGCGAGCGCCGTTTCCCTGAGCCTCACCGTAGGTTAAAACGACATCGGTGTATTCAAGATTTGAAAACAAAACCATTTCAACACATTTCGTCTATAAAGTAGAAATCTGTGCCAAACAAACTTTAAAGAGACGACATTTAATTACACTTGACAAAAAAATGATTGTCAGTGTCAAAACAGTTGCTAGGGTACCTTATTTATTGTTGTAGTGTTGTTATTATTTAAGTTATTATTTAAGGTAAACATAGAGGGTTCGTGAATATATGGGTGGGAAAATTCTAAATTCGACTTGAGTTTTCGAAAAAATGCTATATAAAAAAGTTGTTCCGTTTCACGAGTTCTGTCACTGGTTAAAATTAATCTACTTATTTCTGAGTCACCCTGTATATGATATTCCTAATATACATCAAAATTTGATAGCAATCGATCCGATAGTTTCGTAGATTATCTGTCTAATAAAAATCGTCACAGGCAGACAGGAAACGTCGAGAAAATATGAAACTGGGAGATCGTCCGATGATCTCGATTAGTATATTTCTTTAGCTTACGATCGGGAAGTAAAATGTTGAAAGATATATGTAAAGTTTAATATTTACATTGTCGCAATCGGCTGTGGAACTATTAAAGCAAGTATGACTTGTGACGTAAAAATAGATATCATACTTTTCCGAAAGGGACAATAAACTCTTATGTTTCAAAGGGATAGTGTATATTTGTAACTGGCTGTATTGGTGACTATTTCTTCTTTTTGCAATAATGTAATTTTTCTTGATATTTTTCTATCTTCGGAAAAACTTGATACTTATAATAATTATTCTTTGTATTAGAGTAAGCGTGGATCATATAACGTATTTTTCAATAAAAATGTATTCATTTTAATCGGTGTTGGTCTTTTTAAGACAGTTCTAAATAAATTTCAAATTCAATCTGTAATTCAATGTAAGAAAATATAAAATCGGTCCTAATATTGTCTAAAATGTGTATGGTTAATCGTTTTATATTCGGTCTATTTTATCTGCAACACGAGCCGTTAGGAGGCGGTTGTTGGGATTGTGGGGGTTATCGAATATGTTGAGAAAATAATTTTAAGTCCTGTCTTTTTTGAGAAAAGACTTAAAATGTAAAAACTAAAAAGGCAACACCGCAGACGGCAGCAATAAATTTAATTGCGCCTATTTCCGTTGTCGAGTAAAATTAGAATTGAAAGACGTGCATTGCAACAATTTGAACAAACATTTATTTATTTTTAAGCTAAATAAAAAAAAAACAATAAAAACAAAACAATTACAAGATTACAACAAATGGGAAAATCCTCTACCGATAGCCAACCAACAGGTTTCTGATCGTTTTCGTAAAGCAGCAGGTATTCTATGCAAAACTTCAGGTGTTACAGTTACAATAGCATGAAAAATTAACTGCCTTAAATCTTCTAAATTTTTTGGGATTGTTTGGTAAACCAGATCTTTCATGTGACCCCAGATATAAAAATCAATCGAATTAAAGTCGAGTGCGACCCCCGCGACTTAATCATCAATCTGGGTAAATTGCGTTTAAACACGTCCCAACTGGCACAGTATAATGTGGTCCAGCGCCATCCAGTTGTATAAACATGTCGCTACTAATTGCCAAAACAATCTCATCCAAATGATTTCCAAGCTTATATTGAAGAAATTGTAAAAAATGGTTTCCGGTTAAATTAATGGGAAGAATGTAAGAACCGATAAAACAATTCCCTATGATTTCTGCCCATACGTTCAAACTAAACCGATGTTGATGCCTTATTTCAAAGTATTTCCGTGGATTATTATCAATGGAGTAAAAATGTTTATTATGTCTACTGAATATACCACTATTCATAAAGAGATTTATACGTTCACAAAACCTTGGACAAAAAATCATCGTCCCTGAAGTATCTATCGACCAAATTCCATTCTGGAGGCATAATCGGTAGGAAATAGGACTTTTACTTTTGTGTAATGATGGGGATGTAATTCTTCATCACGAATAACCCTGTTCACAGTTTTGAACGGTACATCCAATAGCCCACCTACTTGCCTAACACTAGTTGTAGGATCCTCAAGAGCAACATCAATAATTGGTTCTTCGGTTTCCACATTGTTTTTGGACTTCCAAGTCCTTTAAGACTTGGTACAGGTTGTCGATTTGCTCTTAGACGTTGGTTAAGCCGCCTAAAAACATTGGAATTAGGATCATTTGGGTAGCGCTTATATAACGTACTTGCCCACCGCTTGGTCACTTGCACCTCTCCGAGCATTAAATACATGTCACAATATTCATTTGTTTAATCAAACAGTATCGATTAATTTAAATAAATATTTGAAAACTGTCATAATAACTTTCTGACAGTTGTTGAGAATTTATAATGCAATTTTTGTTGTTGTTGTGATGCCTAAACCATGTTGCAACATTTTAAACTGACAATCTTCCACCAATTTTAAGTGACAAAGAACGTAATATGTGGTACTTTGATGTCATGTAACGGGTGTTCAATTGAAAAATCACTCAGACTAGGCGCTAGAATGTCATTTGAAAAGGATGTTATAAGAACAGACATGCCGTTTGTGTCACATGAAACTCCAACGCCTACTTTGCGAGATTTTTCAATTGAACACCCGTTATTATTGAATATCTACTCACAATACAGTTACAGATCGAAAAAAAAAAACTTTCGAAATCACACACCACGATACTGGGATTTGTTAACGTTTGTTCGCAGAATTTCCAGAAGCTCTAACATTTAACGAAAAACTCTAAGTAAAAAATAAAACTTGTTAACGTTTCTAGAGCGTTTCGAAACTCGCTTTTTTCCGATTTTCCGCGACTTTTGACACATCCGATATACAGGCTGAATCACCAGGCGCGCTCCTCGATATCTCATTCATTATTAGAAACAGAAAAAAAGTTACAGACTAAAGTTATACGTTTCATTTAGGATTATATTCTAAAATTATTTTAGGTTCTGTATGTAATTATAGATAATTTGATTGACCTCTTCTTAGGTTTTACAACCACAGTTTATTCCCTACTACATACTTCCTTAGCTTACGCTGGGGAAATAAAACAGTAATACATTAACAAACCTCAACTATCGACCCACAATATTTTGCATATTTTAGATAGAATTTATTCGGTAAAATTTTTAAATCATGTCGTCAATATTTGGGACGAGGGCATAAAAGGATATATTTTGATTTACCATGCTTTATCTAAACATCCCCAGCATCTTCAAAATTTATAATAGTGTATGTTATTTAAATTTTACAAAATAACATACACCCGCAGTTGTGGTATATCAATTTGTGCACGAGTTTTTACAGATAGCCATCCAGACTTTAAGAAAAAAAAAATCAAGACCTTTTAAGGTTATCGTAAGCATGATAAATCGTTAATCAAAATTTATCCGTTTAACTACGCTAAGAAAATTGATAAAATGATCTCCAAAGGAATAAAACATACCCAAAATGTTTAAAAATTCTGAGTTTCTGAGTCTATATTTGCAGTTTATCAGGGCATTCATAGTTTTTAGAATTATGTATAAAAAAATAATTATAACTGAGGTAATCTATTTTATTGATCAAAGCATGAACGACTCACCCCACTTTTCCGAAACTTTGAGTACACTGTTATGATTACAATGTATATATTCAAATGTATATATGCGTCTTTGCTAAAATGTCGATGACGTCATTACAATGAACAAGTGCTTATACTATAATTTTAGGCCGATTTTTTTACAATAAACCACTGGTAAAGAAGCATGCAACCATATGAGAAGATCTAGCAAATTTGGAAATGATTTGGTCAAATTTTTGGCGGGAAAAACAAACAAATTTAGGTTAGCGTTTTTCCTCTTACACGATAATCTTAAAGTATAATTAAAATTTCACTGTCAGGAAACTTGGAATATTTTCTTTTTACTAAGCTCGTTCATGGATAAATAGATAAACGACAACGTTGTAGAGACATGATTTTAGACATTTGCCAGAATGACTACGAGTATATTAACAAATACACTACTTCTTTAAGTTTTTCTCAAGGCATATCTAAACGCAGGTCAAATGTTTATAATTATTATTTAACAAATACACTACTTCTTTAAGTTTTTCTCAAGGCATATCTAAACGCAGGTCAAATGTTGATAATTATTAAAACGAATTCAAATGTTTTAATTTTCTGTAAATGTAATATTTATTACCTACTACCAAAACTTCTATATCTAAGCTTCAGTAACAGGTATAAAGTTCTATTTATTTCTTGTATAATATATTGCTTCAGAATTTATAGGCTGTAATTACATAAATTAGGGAATTGTCTGTTTATACAATTAATGTTTTTGCACAAGTGACGACCCTCTTTTGTTGAATTTCTTTCACGCGTGCTTTTTACTTTCCGTTACCATGGTAACCTAAAATAGCCTGGAAGCGATGTGTTTGCAGCACTGTCAACGTCTTTGTTTATGAATAACTCACAGTTAATATTTCAATTTTAAAAATTTATTTGTGGCAAAAAATGTGCACACAACACGTTCGTGAAACCTGTTTTCCGTATTCAAGCGTTCATGCGGGAAGCAGTAATTTACACAACTAGTTAGGGATAGCCTGCTTCCCTCATGAACGCTTGTTTGCGGAACGATTGAAAGGAGTGCCGCATTTGCTGGAATGCGGGAAGCAGGCTTTACGAACGTGTTGTGTACAATATTTTTTGCAACGAATAAATATTTAAACTGAAAAGATTAACTTTGAGTGATTTATAAACAACGACGTTGGCAGAGCCATAAACACATCACAATGTTGACAGTTCCCGACTACTTTAAGGTTACCATGGCAATGGAAAGTATCAAAAATGGTCATGAGTGCAAAAATTACATTTTTTCACTAGCAGCCTTGACGCATGCAAATGTCGACTCCTTTAGTGGTAGCAAATTCAACTTTTGCGACCACCGGTTCAAAAAGAAAAATTGAGGTTATGTACGGAATGTTTGATGTGATTATTTCTTAAAAAATGAACAAATGTGTGCTACAAACATTACTTGAGTATACGCATGGTAGTTGGTAGACGGTAGAAGATAAAATGATTAACTCAGCGACAAGTATAAACGGTTTTCTTTGTGTTGAAGATTTAGATCAAGTTTGATTAGAAATCAAAACAAAATCATGTTGCGTCAAAAAATTGAACGTTTATTTTTTCAGTTTATTGTCTTATGGTTTCTACTAGTGAAAAAAATAGTATATTAACCACGGTTGCAAAGCCACTTCTAGACCTCGCGCTTCAGAGCCCTCGACGCTGCGCGTCTCGGGTTCTAATTTGCGCTCGGTCTAGAATGCTTGGCTCTGTAACCTTGGCTAATAATATACTATTTTTTTTCAACTCACAGTTAATTTTTTCAGTTTAAACGTTTATTCGTTGCAAGAAATATTGTACACCACATTGTCGTGAAGCCTGCTTCCCGCATTCCCGCAAATGCGACTCTCCCTTCGGTCGTCCGCAAACAAGCGTTTATGCGGGAAGAAGGATATCCCGAACTAGTTGTGTAAATTACTATTTAATACTTTTATTTAAAATAACGCGTCAGTTTAAGCATTTTTCAACTTAAAATTAGAAATGTAACTTAACATAATTTGGTAAAAATAGCTGTGGTTACTTTTTTACGACTTTTTCCCTTTTATTTATCGTTTCATCAATTTTAAAGTGAACATAAATTTTAGACCCACCAGTACCAACGATAAACTTAATCGGCACAGCGATAATGAATATTATGCTGCTCAAATGTTTGGTAAAAAGAAGCAAAATTGCGAAAACATTTTCAAAGACTGTACCACCAGTTTTTTGGACATCTTTACAGTACTTGAGAGTACAATTTTGTTGTAAGTCACATTTCTTCCATAAATAAAAAGTAAAATAAAACTCTCTTATTTTATTTACATTTCACTCACATTCCAATTTCTAAGTTCTATTATGTATGTTTTACTCTAACATTCTCGTAAACTGCTGGAAAAAATTGAGAGGACATTCCGGAAACAAAACGGCGCAATTGTCGACTTCTCTTCCAAATTTTTCAGCTGCGTGATACTCGCAGTTCGAATGATTGTCGAGAGGTTCACGAGTCGACGACGGTCTGAAAATTACATTGTAATGGAATTTTCCATAAAATTCTTATTGCTCACGTCAGAACTGCGTGGATTATTTCGGCTAAAATTCCCGTTTTCCTTTCGAAAGGCTGTGCGGCTACCTCGCAAATGCTTCTCAGAAGACAAGCTTTTCCATCACCATAACCACTTCTTTGCAAAAAATTCTCGATGAGTTTATAAGTAACCCATCTTGTAGAAGAACGCTTTTTTCTGACATAATCGATCGAGGGTTGTGTGTAGTCAGTGCTGTTCGTTGGTAATAAATAAAAAGCTTTTACGACAGTCCCTATGGTGATGCTTTGATCACGTAATTCAATCGGTATGCCGATTCCTGCAATCATCTTTTGAGGGTTTGTATTAGTTATATTTTAGCTGCCCTTACTCCAAGTTACCTGTACCATTATTACCTGAACCCAGTTGACACCTTCATGCCAGATTAAATACCGCTTTTGTCGAGATAGTAATTCACCACTTGTGTCCAAAAGTTTGCCGAAATTGCAATTTACACAAATTATAATGACTGTTAAAAATATTAATACTAGAGAGAATTTCATGCTTGCAATATATTTAGATTTAACTTTAGCAATAATGTTGATTTATATTTCATAATCATGATTTAGTTAGACACGGTGAGTTAAATGACCCGTCCACAATGTTTAGTATGTAAACATGAAGTTTAGCAGCTTGGTACTAATGAAAATTATTTTCTAAGTAACTACGCATAATAAGAAGAGAGTAGGAGAATACGAAATATGATTTAGAGAACGTCATATAAACCTCTACAAAGGGTAGCCCAGATAAAAATTTGCGGTATTAAAACCTGTGATCGGACAGAAATATTGAGATTCTACAAACGTCATTATTTTTAGCTTGAAGGGGGAAGCTTAATTGAGTAGATTGCAAATATGACACATTTAAATTGCAACTTACATTTTTTTGACGGATTTTTATAGATAATTAAAATATGATTGATTATGATACTTTTGAAACACTTAGATGCGTTGTATTAGTTTTAAATATATACAGGGCTTATATAAATCAGTCTAGCTGCGTAGTTGGCCATGGACTTCAAAAATCCCACTTCGGTGAAATTATGCTTCATTATGAGATTATGAAATTCTTACTTGTTATTAATGTCATTTGTATCTGTCATTTAAAGTCATCCCTTTTATTATTCTAACGTTTTTCAAGTGTGAATTACTACAGTAATTCTCATTGATCCAAGCTCAAAACAACAAAACAGTCGTTTTCAAAACCCTTGGTCCTTGGTTACGAAAACTTTGTTTTTATGCTAGGAAGCAAAGATGAAAATGGTTTATTCTGTTGATAAGACATTTTCATTGTTATGTCTTTATTATCGCAATGCGACATTCGTAAACGCAAAGTGTGTGTATTCTATAACCACTTGTAAGTAAGAATGCCTGGCTAAATACCCTGATTTGCAAATTCAAGAATCATCGTTAGAGGCTTACATTAGAGAAGTAATCAACAGATTTGTTCGAATTGGCAGTGTCAACAAAGGGAAATCTCCTGGAAGACCTTCGGTCTCTGAGGAAGTTGTGGATGATTTGGGACGACTCGAGCAGAAGAAATTTAGTTTACTAATGTAGAATAATAGTCGGTTTGCATAGTTCATTATTTATTTTTATTTATACTATTTTGGTGGTACCGGTTTCAGGGTTCATCTCCTTCCTCAACTACGTCGTCAAATAAACTTATAACAATTCAAAAAACTCAATATTTGGTTAGATTTCTAAAACTTATTAGTGTTAATACTACCAGGAACTGGATCTACTGTTTTTTGAGCCTAAAGGAAGAATCGCTTCACTAACGAACTGGTTGTTAAAATATCTTTCGAAATTACTGATAAAAATAAGTTTTCAGCTATGGTAATGTATCTGGGACTGCGAGTTTCCGCCTTTCCCGCTTTTTGACTTTAAGGCGCCTCCGAAGGGATGATCACCATCAAGACACTTTACTTTCCACTACCCCCTCAAGTCCAACTTCAATGAGGGTTAGTGCAGAAGAACACCCGTCCGGTGGGGCTTGGAGCCCGACCCGAGGTCCTAGGTTTTGTGTACGGAGGGGGCACCTCGAACAAATAGATACTGGTAAGCCTTCGCCAAAACCCCTTTGGCTTGCAAGGTAATGAGCATCAATGTTTTCCCTAGTCTGTACAACAGGAGATGAAACTGACGAGTTTGTTCGATGCGAAATAAATTTCGACATGCAAATCTTTTGAAGTAGGTATGTGAAAAAAACGAATAATTTGATGAGATGCCAATCCCATATACTATCCGAATAGCTCCTCAGTTTGCAGGTAGACCTTTATCAGAACACAAGTGCTCTGCCTCGGGCTAGACATCTTTACACTTTTATGTACCAGTTTTGTATGGAGTTAGTCAGTGACGACTGTACCGGCCTGGGCCAATGCATTGCTTCAACATTTAGTAAACCTCGCGGTCCGTGGCCTGCAAGTAGGTAGATTAGTTAATCTCTAAGACGTGAGAGGCAATATTTTCACATATACCGCCCCATAAAGTTGCGCTCCGAAGAAATACATGCCTCCCTTGCCTCCCATGTGGGTAAGGTTAACTCAGAACTATCATCCAAACAGGCTTGTCAAATTCTAAGGACCATCTTCTAGGCACCATCGGTCCGATGACTAGTCTTGGGAGCCTATGCCACATCAGGTCTGGCCTGGGATCGGGTACCGGCAGAATTGGCGTGATAAACAGCTATTCTTATTCCCCGAGCCCCCAAAGACACTTCGCCCTCTCAACCCTCTGGTTTCCACCCTTATCGCCCCTAAAGCGTCTCACTAGCCAAGTATCAGTGTTACCAAAGTACCTGTTACTAAATGTTGTAGGTCTTTTACAAGAAACTGAAGGGTATGGTTGGTCTCCTCCATAGCTCCTCTTTGCGAAAACGGTCGGCACCCACGAGAAGGTTCCCCAATCCCGAAGACGTCCGACCTTAGTTAAACAGTCAAATAGTGTAAAACAGGTTGTATGTACTGCTAAAAAGACCTTGCCTAACTTTACAATATCTAAATACAGGGTTTCTATAAATGATTATATGGTCGCAGTAGGTGATGTAAACATGCCGCCTCTGCGACTTGAAATGTACATACTAAATGAACAAGGACGCATGACAAAGACCACACGCATCTGTATAATTGGTTGCCTAAATGCTTCATATCTTTTTAAAAAATAAAACTAAATCATTACAATAAAAAGGAACAAAATTTATTGCGGTAAACATGACAGTAAATGTTGAAAATGTTCATCACTTTGTTTAAGGTCCATTGTTCAATTTCATGTTGCAACATAAACTCCTGACTGCAGAGGAAATTTTGTCAAACATATTTGCCGATTCTGCCCAAATCGTCTCAAATCATCAACTTCCTTAGATACTCAACGTCTTTCCCGATGTTTCTCTTTGTTGACACCGCCAGTTCGAAGAAATTTGTTGATTACACCTTTAATGCCTAATGTGAGCCTCTAACGATGTTTCTTGAATTATTAAATCACGGAATTTGGCCAGATATTCTTGGTTACAAGCGGTTACATACTATTCGTTTACGAAGTCCCATTGTGGTCACAAGACACAACAATGAAAATGTCTTGTTCAACAGAATAAACCATTTTCACAGTGTACGCAACCACCAAGAGTTTTGAAAACGACTGTTTTGTTGTTTTGAGCTTCGATCAACGAGAGTTACTGTAATTCACACTTGAAAAACGTTAAAACAATAAAAACGATGACTTTAAATGACAGGTAACAAATGTCATTAATGACAAGTGAGAACTGTCATAATGAGGCATAATTTCAACGAAGTGGGATTTTTTAAATCCATGGCCAATTACGCCCTTAGAATCATTTATAAAAGCCCTGTATAAAATTTCTATTGCTGAAGCAATGATAATGCTATGATTAGTTTCAGTGAAGGTACCGAAAAAAAACAAAATCTGTTATTAGTTTAGTGCCAATTATTATTAGATCTGTAAAATAAAACGAAATTACGAAAGATCAAAATAAGTCACTTACCATTAAATTAAATTTTTACTTTTGTTGGACTCGTGAACTTTTTCACAAGTCGTAAAGACAAATGTGTTTACTTAAACACTTATTAGCTTATTTTCTCTACGTGTACATGTTATTTGCAGTCGGTACTTGAGCTATCTCACTCTCTCCATCATTCCTCTGGACTCGAGGTGTGGGGGTGCATGCGCATACAGTGCTAACAAAGTAGGGAAAGCGTTAATTCACTAACATTACCGTAGGCTTTAGGAAGGAATTGATGTTTGGCGCTCTTTTGTCTATTCAGAGTTTCTGTCAGTGCGATGAGAATAAGCTTACTTGTCCTACGTCCCAAGTATATGGGTACATATTTATTGAAAAAGCAGATACGAGACCATTCTTCCGATTGCGATTAAACTGTGATTCGTTTCTGCGTGTGTGTGCGCATGCTGCGTAGACTTTAATTGAAGCAAATGTAAATTGAAACAAACGCAAATAGTGACATTTTGATTGCCGGTAGACATTAATAATAATAATAGTAGTACTTTAATGCCCAACAGATTACACTGGTCAACAGCTAAGTTCTAACTTTTATTATAGCAGTCAATTATTATTTAATTAGCAATTTTAAATGATATTATAAAGGGCTAAACCAAAACTTAGCTCTCATTTAAAAGTAATCTTAAAATATTATCCTTGAAAAATACAAAAATCGTACTATTAAGTAATAGGAAACTTTATATAAAGTGTATTTTTTTGTAATCAAATTGCTACAAACTTCTTGGGAAACAATAAGAAAACTACTTTTAGTAAGTAGAAGACATGTTCTCATCATATAAAAAATTTAAAATTAACATATTCTTAAAAGTGCATTTTATACACTCGCACCTTGATTTTTTCCCCAAAAATTGTGACGACGTGAGTGACCATCATAGAGAACACATTCATCTGGGCATTTTGTCGATAGAAAAACGTTACCAAGATCAATGGAACACCTAAATGCTCGCAGAATACTGCGGGACCATCAAGCGAGAGATCTCCAATAAAATCTATAGGAGGCAACCGAAAAAACGTCGGTCTTCGCTGTTTCTTTTGTTTTTTTCGTTTTTTAAACTACATTCGTTGTTTTTTTCTTATTTATGGTTGTTTTTTTGTTAAAACTACACTTTTTGCCGTTAAAGATACAAAAATTAAATTATTTTACCTGATTTTGTGTTTCTAACATCAAATATGCATATTTTTTTTAATTGAGCTAAGTTATAAGATTTATGCTCTCTGTTACAAACACAGAGACAAATTAAACGAAAACATTACAATTATGTCAAAGTTAGAGAGAAAAAATTAAATTTTGTTGACCAGTGTTATTATCCAATGACACGACCATAAATGTATTACGAAGTACTTCCCTCCCTGATTTTGCAAATTCTGCTTTTTATAATAACCCTTACAAGTTAAAATAAAGTGTAAATGTATGTAATGTTCTAGTAAAGATAAAGAAGCGTGCTACACGTTTGCTTCATCTGAGTTTTTCCGTTAGAAAAGAGATGAATCTAAGGGCGTAGTTGGCCATGGACTTCAAAAATACCGCTTCGCTGAAATTATGTCTCATTATGACAGTTCTCATTTGTCACATTAATGTCTAATGTCATTTGTAACCTGTCATTTAAAGTCGTCGTTTTTATTGTTTTAAGGTTTTTCAAGTTCGAATTACAGTAATTCTCGTTGATCCATGCTCAAAACAACAAAACAGTCGTTTTCAAAACTGTTGGTGGTTGCGTACGAAAATTTTGTTTTTGTGCAAGGAAGCGAAGACTGTGAAGATGGTTTATTATGTTGAAAAAGACACTTTCATCGTTATGACTTGTAATCGGAAAGAGACTTCGTAAACGAATAGTTTGTGTATTCTGTAACCGCTTGTAAGCAAGAATATCTGGCGAAATACCATGATTTAATAATTCAAGAAATATCAAGGCTCACATTAGAGATGTAATCAACAGATTTGCTCGAACTGGCAGTGTCAACAAAGAGTAATCTCGTAGAAGACCTTTTAGATATCTGAGGATTTGAGACCACTTGAGCAGAATTGAACAAAGGATGTTAGTGATGTTACAGAACATTTTTGAAATTAAAAAGAGAGTGAACATGTGCCTTGAATAAAATAATGAACATTTTCAATATTTACTGTGATGTTTAACCCCAATAAATGTATTTCTTTTTATTCTAATGAATTAGTTTTATTTTTTAAACGATATGAAATGTTTAGGCGACCAGTTATACAGATGCGTGTGGTCTTTGTAATGCGTCCTTGGGCATTTAGTTCAGATTTCCGTACAGTTAAATCTGAGAGGCGGCACGTTTACATGACCTACTGCGACCCTATAAGCATTTATAGAAAGCCTGTATAATTACATAATAAAGAACACGACATCACAAGAATTAATTACCTTTGTTAAGTAGCATTGCAACGTGTACCGTGTAACAGCTAGTTTGTAATAATGGCGAATGTCAATTTAATTATGTTACGCAATTTTGTACGTAAGCAATATACCTATCTTTTCATTGCCAAGCTTTTAATGTCTCAAAAATGTTGTCATTAGCGCATGATTGACTACTGAGCAATATTTTAATATTTGCCAACTTACTGTTATCACTTCTCGTTGATAAACAAATTACATTTTTAATCTTTTGATTACGTCAAGAGGAGTGGAACAAGGAAAAATAACGCCTCACGGTAAGATAATCCGCTATGATGTATGAAGAACTGATTGGTCTTTAAAACATCCGAGGACACTGTTCACCGGAAAAAAAAACAGTAACTGTAATAATCTAATAATATTTCTGCCTGCAAACCTATTCTTTAAAATATTTTAGGAGAGACAATCTTGTTTTTTCAGCATCAAAACATAAGTAATCGTTACGCTTCAGCACCATAAATATGACAAGAATCCGATATCTTGTAGATGCCGTAATCACATTTCCTAGACTATTAATGACTGGGAAAACATTCTGAGGTCGGATGAATCTAAATTTAATTCAAATTCTGTCGACGAAAAAAGATACTTTAAATAAATAATAAATAAATAAATAAACTTTATTTCCAACAGGTTTTACACCCACTTACAGGAAATAATAAAATTAAACTATATGTGATTAAGAGAGTACATAAGTTACTTAATTTAGAAATTATTATAAAAAAGAAAAAAAAAATACAGAGAAACCTGGCTAAACTGCACCAAAATTAAATAAAACTTCCTAAATTTAAAGACCAAATTCTTCAATAATAGCACGGCTTAACGAACTCGCCTTGTCAAAATTAATATCAAACTTCCTACATATTTGGTTATAGTAATTACACATTAAAGATATGGGGGATTTATACATAGCATTGGTTCTATTGAACGAACTATAAAAAGTATAAACATGCCGTGTGCTCTGACGCGGAATAGCAAAATTTACTTCATTTAAAAGTGATGAACAGTTAATTTTATAATTAACTAAATTATACAAAAATCGGACCAGCAATATTATTCTTCTTGTACTCAGCGAGTTAATATTAAACCTAGAAAGCAAAGTCTCATGATCGAAGCCTCTTGCAGGGTACGAGCCGTCTAAGAGCAAACACACAAATTTTAAAAATGATCTTTGAACTGATTCAATGCATACAATATGTATTTTGTATATAGGAAACCAAATAATTGCTCCATACTCTAACCTAGATCTAACTAAAGAAAAAAACAGCAGAAATAAAGTACGTATATCAGAAAAATCACGACAATTCCTATAAATAAACCCATAGGTTCTGAAAGCTTTTTTGACCATGTCTTGTATGTGTCCAACAAAAGTAAACTGATTATCAAACAAAATGCC